CTAACAGGTTACACAGCAGGGAATGCCTCCCCACTATGTAACCTGTCATGGACAGAGCGCTGCCTGTTAATTACAGGCAGTGCTACTTCCAGCTTTTGATAGGTATGTTAGGACATCTCGATGACTCACCAGTGACAAGTGAGGGGCAGGAAGGCTCATCCCTGGATAGGTATGTTAGGTTACACAGCAGTGGGCTTCCCCACTGCTGTGTAACCTAACATAGTGAGGCAGAGCTACAACAGCCTCTACTTGGTTTAGAGGCTTGAGCTCTATGGATGGTTTGGGCCAATGGCAAAATGCTGTCCAAGTGTCCAAAATGCTGTCCAGTGACAATTGAGGGGCAGGGAGGCTCATCCCTGTCTCCTCCCTTCTCCCTCCCTCCTCCACACATAGCTCAATGACCGGGTTGGGTGGAGGCTGGGGCAAGCAGGTGGAATGCCTCACCTAGCACGGACTTTACTGCACATCCTTGATCTATACTGTAAATGGTTCAAGGTGTTCGGTCAATCAATGCAGACTTGTTTGGCTTTACAAATTGCTATTTGTAACTACAGTGTAAGAAGAGCAAGGTTATTTTTCAGGGTATATGGGCTACAGAAAGTTCACATGATATACCTGTCTGTAAAGTGGTCAAATATTGGCATAACTTACAAAATGAGATACATTGGTTCTGATCTGAAATAAAAAGGACTGTTTTGTTAAGAACCAAACAGCCATATACCTAATTTATTAAAGAAACCCAAGAAATATTCCAGTTATGATTTGATTAGTTCCTATGGAAAAACGCAAACAACTTTTACTAAAGAAGATCTGTTAATTGAGGCCGGCTGTAGTGAATTTCGGAACTAATGTGAATGGGATCACATTCTCTATGAAATGCTGTAAAATGTGTCAGAGCTATCAAGGGAATAAAAGAAAAGGCTTCTAACAAGGGATAATAATCATTTATAATTATGTTAAGGTTACATTTATTATACCTCAAGGGAAAAAAATACGATTTTTGCACTTACCGTAAAGTATTTTTCTTGGAGTCCTTTGAGAAATAGTAATAATGAGGATAATAATTCTTAGACAATTGGATTATATGCGGCTGGCTTCAGAATTGGATGCTGGTAAAAGTCAAACAAAAAAGGGCGACAGGCCAAGGCTTAAGATACCTGATCCTTGACTGCAAGGAAAGGAAGGAAGGGCAGCCCAGGCTAACAGGCCAAACAACTAATAACCAAAAGTCTTCAGTGAAAATCACCTTCAACCCTTGACTTTAGTAATCTCTGTGGAGAGTCACCTTTGAAAGGGATTGTGATCCTAACCTTCTTTCATTTCAAAGATAGGAGAGAACCATAGCACAGGGATGTGATCGCTACAATTAGACTGTCTGGTCATTTAGGAAATACAGGATTCTAAGAATCATGAAAGAGCACTGTAATGGATAAAATTATTTTTACCAAATAGGAACAAGGAGGTGAGTCCATGTTCTGGCAACTTGAACAATTAGCCTTAATAACGTGAAAAATGGGGTTAAGGCCCTCAAAAAGTCCCAGAGTTATACTACACCACCTAGGGAAACGCTACAGCTGGGTAACAGAGTCCGGTATGTGGACCTAACAGGTAATACAGGACTAATAAGAAAAGGGGTTTATTCTCATTAGAAAGGAGATACACTCAAGAGCATCACCCCACTGTGCTAGGTGTGGAGCAACAGATGCAGGGATCTAACAAAAATAGTGTGCACAAAAATTACAATTCTAACATAGGGATGTGTGACAGCAGGTCAATAAATACTTCTGGTTGCATCTAGAACGAGATATAAATATGTCACAGATTCACAGTTTGGTGAAATATATATATATATATTTTTTTAAATTAAAGTGACATTAAAGGCTACCCCCCCCCCTCCCCTCCCCCAATTCTGCTTTAAGCACTTGCCTTATTTGATGCCTCTTGATGCGATCATCATCTTCCTTCCACTCGTTTCCGACGCTCCCTCCAGCGCTGGTGCCGGTCTCTGATCCAGCGCAGACATCTGTCTGTGCCCCACCACAAACACAGCGCTCTCCTGGCTGTCACTTTCTCTCCTCCTCGCTGGGACACAGAGCAGCGCCCAGCGGGGAGGAAAGAAAGCACGGATGCACTGCTGTATATGCAGAAAAATGGGACTTTTGGCATTTAGCCAAAAGTGCCATTTCCGCCCGATATCTTTTGGATGTTTTGGATAGAGTGGGGAATTGCTATAACTTTTGGTTGGATTTTTATTACGGTCCTTTTTTCTGCTGGGGATATTTACCCTTCTATTTGTCCTGCCCACCATTGTCACTAGGAGTGATGGAAACCCAAATTGTTAGGCTTTTAAAGTATAAACGGGAGACGACCCAAGTTCCAGTGAAAATTGTCCAAGAGGGATTTTTTACTCACTTTGCAGAGGTTTCCTGTTGTGTCCAGGGACAGCAACTGAAGAGAGATCTCCACAATGAGACTGGGGAAAAAAAAAACCCCACCACAAGAAACGACAGGGGGTTTAAACTATCCACATATTATCCAAAAACCAAACGCTTACACAGAGTCCGTTATTATCATTGATCCCTGTGGTACTCAAACCACAAAACCCCTTGTATTTGGTGCTGATTAAACCTTTACTTAGGGCGTGACATTCAAAGTTATTGGCAATATGCGCACAGTGGGTTACTGCAGCATGCTTGTGTGAACTTGGCTTTTCTGTATTTTAAACAGAACCTTAGGTGTAAAAAAACAAAACAAATATGGCCTCTAACTTTTATTCTCTGCAAAAATGAGAAGGGATTTAACAACAAACTTTTGTTTCCAATGTTCTTTTAAAATATTTTTATAATTAAGCCCCTGAGATTCAAATACGAAATTACTCTAGAGCCTCGGTTCTCAACTGGTGGGTCGTGACCCAAAAGTGGGTCGCGACCCCATGTTCAGTGGGTCGCCACGTGCCTTCCACTTTTCTAGGTGAGAGGCTCCTCAGTCTTCCCCTTTTGCAGCACTGTCAGTTCTCGCACCAGACAGCCATTCAAAATATGCTGCTCAGTGCCGAGTGTCAGCTGGAGGGGGGGTGGACTGGAGCAATGGCCGTGAGGGAGCTACATCCATACATATAGCTCCCTCGTGTGTCCTGTAGAGGTGCCTGGACCGGAGTGATGTCACATTCTAGCTCCTGGCACCTCCACAGGGCACACAAAGGGAGGTGTACAAGCAATGCACATATGGATGGAGCTCCGTCACAGCTCAGCAGCCCACACTGGACCCCAGGCTGAGGATCCACTCTAGTTCTGATAAGGTATGGAGACTGGGTGGATATTTTGAATGGCACCCAAAACGCACCTCCCACCCACACTTCGATTGCCCACACCGGAACGCATGGTACCACAATGTTGTACGTTCCATTGCAGTGGAATGTTGTACGTTCCATTGCAGTGCGACTCGCGACATAATGACCAAAGACAAATGTGGGTCCTGAGGTTACACAGGTTGAGAACCACTGCTCTAGAGAACCATTAGTAAAGAGTCTGACCTCTAAACCCCAGGTGCCCAACACACGGCCCACCACTGTTCCATGTGCAACCGGTGGTGTTTTGGGCTAGGTCAGCCACCTGGTAGAGTGTGAAGTGGTGGGTACAAAATGCTGCAAGTCTGGTTTTCGGTCAGTTGCTTAACCCATTCAAAAATAAATGGACCAAAATCAACAGGAAATCGCAAGTTAACGGAGGGTCCGTAGGCTTGCAGTGTAAGGCACCGTTGACTTCCGTTCTTTTAATTTAAATTAAATGGAGAACTATGAGTGAGTGCTTTTCACTCACCTCATAGTGCTAGCCGACCTGTGACAATGAGACTGTCACAGGTCGGCTTAGTAGATCGGGAGGTGAGCGAACACATACCGGGTTCGCTCACCTCTCGATCCTGTCACGGCTCTCTGCCATGACAGGGGAGGGGCTGGATTCCCCCCTCCCCGCTCTGATCCGCCAGCGCTGACTGGCGGAACGTACGGGGAGGGGGCAGCTGGCTCTGCCTCTAGATAGGCAGAGCAAGCTGTCACTCACGCAGCTGGGCGGATCTCGACATCGATGTCGGGATCCGCTCCGGCGTCTCAGTATACCACGAGCTGTAGCTCGCGGTATACTGAGCCTAGGGTGACGGGAGGACGCTAGTTTGTGTCCTCCCGTTACCCTAAGGAGAACTATGGGGAAAGGAGAACTAATTACATTTTTATGTTGTACTGAAAAAAAAATTAAAAGAAAATAGTACCGTAGGAGCATGCTTTCCTTTTTTTCATTTAACTGCAATGGAACGCAACAGGTTGCAGCAATGTAAACTGGTCTCATTCAGACCCATACATTTTTCAGTGTCTTTGCATTACCACCTGTTGAAAAACGAATCACAATGCAATGATCTGGTTTGAATGGGGCCTGATTCAACATGTATCAAACATCACACGTGCGGTAATGGACTGCAATGGTATGGAGTAACCCTAGAAGCCCTAAAATAGGAGTTGGCACCCAACAAGTGTATGTTTATTTGCTTTGCAATTTTTTCATCAGAGACTGGCTTTTTGACAAGAGATTCACTAGCCTGCACTAGCCTTGTTCAATAAAATAAAAAATTCCAAGTGTAATAATTCAAAACAAAATTCATATTTCCCAATCTGAAAGATGACTGCTTGCTATGGGTTACTGCACTTTATATTTGCTTTGCTCTTTATACACTTAAATTTTAGTTAGATGTTTTTATATCAATTAATATAAATCTGACATTTGGGGCATACCCCTGTCTGAAAAAGAGAAACTAAACCAAAAAGGACAAGTAAATACAACATCAAATAAGGAAAAAGGCAAATCGGCTCCACTTAGACAATGCAGTTATTCCTTCAGTAAGGCATCTACATCAGCATACATGATAGGAGCTCTTTGCACACCTTTAACTGCACAACAACGTATAACAAAATGATCAAGCAGACAAAGATTAAACCAAAAAAATGTGTTTATTTACACAATGTCAGATCCCATTGTATGGTAGTAAAAGAACATAATATATACAAGATATGCCATCTATTTCCTTCACAATTATTGAAATCTTCTATTTGAATTATCAGGGTCACTTCTTGAGGAAATGCCAGACATCAACTGTAAGAGAAGGACATCCATATTAATAAGGGAAAAACACATCACAATTCCTGCTTCCAAAGGAAACCAAACAAAAATCCAGTACCACATATAGAGATCACAATGATTAACGGCATATTGATATTAACTATAATCAGAACATAATACCAAACATTTGTTACCAATATATTAAACTGTATTTAAATGGCACTAAAATGTAAAATGGGGACCCATATGTTCAGTCTGCCCAAAACGTATATTTCAGTTTTCAGTGGATCATGGTGAGTTGAACTACCAGTTTCTTATATTTATATGGATACTATTGGTGTGATCTGCGTGCTTGAGTTTGTGGGTATGCACACCTGCTGTGGCTGTTATGAGGGTTCCCACATTGTTTTGGATATCACAAGAGCTGGATTACAATGGTGAGTGGGATCATTGGTAGTTGTGTAAACTAACCAGGTAGAGAAGAAGAAGTTGGGAATTATGGCCAGGAGATCTCGCTATTGAAATTGGTGGACCTAGTCAGCTACTGGGTTCTTATAGGTCTTGATTGCTCCAATATCTATAGTGAATGTGTGTCCTAATGTACAAAAATGTCCCTTATACTGTTTATACTATGCAAGAGTTACAGGGAAGACCAACCATAACCAGCATATGTTCTTGTTGCTATATCTCATACACAGAGATTTAGCAAACTATTGAAATCTGCCTACCAGCAGGCCCACATCCACTTTTAGATGTAAACCGAGTGAAAGATTTATAGTACCGCACATACACTGTTGCAGGCATAGGGAACAATTTTGATTGGTTGCGGCAAGGACAAACTAATACTTTACTTTGCCATT